ATCAAGGCCTCCATGGCCCCGATCTCGTTGCACAACCAGATGAAGGATTGCATACTTTTGATCTCGTGCGTGGTTATGTCGTTGGATTAGTTGCATTGTGTGTCATCATCAAGGACTCCTGAATTTTGTAGTTGTATATTAGCTTGAGGACAATGTGACATAGTGTCGCACCTTTGGATCGACGATGCCATAGCTTGGGTCTTGCATTTCCAACATCGAATAAAGGGTGATATGCCTTGGATCTCTTCAACACAAAAAAAGATCAGGAAATTTGAAGTTTAGATCTCCCAACTTTATCTCTAGATCACCGATCAAGACCCTCAAATCTCACCAATGCATTGTCAGTTCAAGGAATCCCCTTTCGCTACTAAGCGATGAAGGAGGATGGTGTGAGGGAGTTGGATGCCAGGTTGGATGTTGTATACAGAGAAGACAAGAGGCTCAATGTTAAATCAGGGTCCATGTGACTTGCATCATGATGCACCTTGAAGTTGTAGCTTAATCTCACATTTGCATCACTGGGTCAAGCCAGATCTGGTGGCTCGGGCGTAATGGAAGATGAAGCAAAGTATTGGTTTTTTTGAAAGAAAAGGTAGATCTTGTTCGACCTTATGCATTCAAAACAGGCCGTAGCCCGATAGACCGGAGTCGTTTTACATGAAGGCGATGTAAGCGCTGCACAGAGTGTGCAGCAGGCCATCGCCAAGCCTTAAGAGGAAAGCAAAAAAGAAGGGAAGGAGGAAGAAGAGATAGGGGCTAGTGGTCTAAGCTATATCTACTGTTGCATCATTACATTAGCCCAAGAGTTTATGACCTCCCTTGCATTTCCTTCTGGTGCTCTCAACCTCCATAGCATAAGCAGTTGAGCAATCCCAGTGATAACCTTTGCAGTTGTCCAACAAACGCTATGGAAGACTCGTGCGTTTCTGGCATTCCAAAGCGCCACTGCACTTGCAGCAAAGAGAACATGCCAAAGTGTTCCATATGTTTCCCTTGCTACCTCCGAGGTCATGAAAACTGCAGCAGTTTCACAGATGTGGCCGAATCCAGGAGGCCAGTCTTGGCCCAAACAGCTTGTGCGAGTTTGCATCTGAGCAGAATGTGGTGCATGGTCTCGGCTGCTGGACACATATCGCATCCGTTGTGGTTTGAAATCCTTGTCCATTGCTTCCTCACCATGTTATCCCTAGTATTTTGCCTGTCCCTGATGGCCAACCATAGAAAGACCCGGTGTCGTTTGGGTATAATTCGATCCCAGATATAAGGAGCCGAGGGGCAATCTATGCCTTTGAAGGTGAGTAGCCTATAAAAATAGGCTGTTGATAGCTTTTTATCCAGCGTCACTGGCTTCCTAACGTCCGGTGTACTAGGGGTCGGTGAGATGGTAACCAGGAGATCCATCAGTGTGGCCAGCTCCCGCGACGCAGTGTAGGACAGGTTGGGATGCAACTGTATCATCCAATTGCCATTGTCGTACTGTGAAGCGACAGTGCAGTACCTGGCTTTGGAGAACGTAAAAAGGGTCGGAAAGGACTGAGAGAGTCGACCAGTTTCCATCCAATGGTCAAACCAGAAGGATACCGTCTTGCCATCCCCGAGCTCACACTTGGTTGACTGAATAACTAGCTGCAGAGAAGATTTGAAGCATCGCCATATGGCAGTATCTGCACTATGTACTGTAAGTGGCAGTTCTGTACGACAATATGTTGATGCAAACCACTGGTAGCACAGTACGTTGCTGGATTGTAGTATCTTCGCCATTGCTTTGCATATCATTGCCCTGTTGTGTGCTCCGAGATCCCTACTCCCAAACCTCTATTTTGCGGCGGCATAATCACATAGTCCCATGCCACAAGACACTGTCCCCCCTTTGCCTGGTTCTTCCCTTGCCATAGGAAACCCCTTATGATCTGCTCAAGCTGTTGTATAGACTGTGTTGGCCATAGTAAGCAACCCATGAAGTAGCTGGGTATCGTCGCTAGAACAACATTAATCAGAGTGAGCCGTCCCCCCCGGGATAGGAAAGTGGCCAACCAGCCTGACAAGCGTTTGTCTACCTTGTGAATAACCGGCATTAGCAGTCCATGGGTAATCTTGTGTGCAGATAGGGGTAATCCCAGATAGGTGCAGGGGAAGGCAGAAGACTGACATTGTAACACTTGTTCAATCTGTTGGCAAACCGTCGGATCGACGCAAATGGAAACAAAGGAGCTCTTTTGGAAGTTAATTGTGAGGCTAGGAAATACACAGCAGGCCACCATTGTCAAGAGGAAGTATTGGTTTGATCTCCTGCCTTGAATAGTAGGTCATGGATCAAGACCCTTAGATCTTGCCATTGCACCATCGGTTGAGGGAGAACCCTTTCGCCATTGAGCGTTGGAGAAAGGTGGCGTAGGAGGAAAGTTAAGTGTCGAGCTTGTTGATGCATAGAATAACAAGCAAAGGGTTTTTAGGACATAGGACCGATAATTATATTTCTTTTAGCCTAGTGGTTGGAATGTTGTTGTGCGTCTCAGCCGATGCAGGTTCAAACCCCAGGTTCAAGCGTGAGTCTCACATCTTCTTCTTCATTAAAAAACCCATAGGGCTGCTCCCCTGTTTTCCCAGTGCACGATCAAGTTGCCATGCAATATTACCGAGAATTACCATTATTGGTAGAGAAAGATGGCATGTAGAGCAAAAAAATGCCAACATTTTTTAAAAACTGCTATCCGCATGACCCGGATCCAATGGATGTGGGGGTGTTCTGTAGGACCTTCCCTAGTTAAAAAAATATATTTTGCTTTGTACAAGACACAAAGAAAACAAGTGGTGTTGAAGAAAATCTGCAAACTTACAAACTTTAGAGCATCTCCACTCGGGCCCCCAACAGGCCCTCCAGGCCCCTTTTTATTGCCCGCGTGAAAAAAAAACTGCCCAGTCACAGCCCAGGAGACCATTTTTTGTCGGTTAGGCCCGAATTTGGCGCCGACAGACCCAGGCCAAATCTGGCGCGCTGGGCGCACCCCGAGGCGCTGAGGGAAACGATTTTGGCACCAAACTTAGTGGACCTGCCGAGTCAGCTACTCGGCGTGTTCGTTGTCCTCAGCGCCACGGTTTCCCGCGGGAATCAATGTGAAGGCAGCCGCCGGTCAGCCTTCCATTGATTCACCGACGTCGTAGTGAAGGCACGCCGCCGTGCGTCCCGCTCCCTCCTGCCACGAGTCCACACTGCTGCCGCCTGCTCGCCACCCACTCGCCGCTATAAAAGCCACCCTCCCTCGCCACATCCTCTAT